TCCAATTTTCCTACATTCATTCTTCTCACATTCCACGTTCCAATCACTAGCGTCTGCTTATAGCTGTTCTTCCTTCTCTGTTTCTATATCTGAAATCTCAGTCTCAATTGCCATGTCTGCTAGTCCAAGTTCTAGTCTAAGTGTGATCTATTGTACATAGTGTGTTCGAAGGCCTGCTATTTCAGAAATGGATGGCCAATCCTTTCTCCTAGTCTGTCTTAATTTTATTTTTTTTTAATAACAGTATCTGACAGACAAGCGTTTCATAGAAAAGAGCAGATGGAAGACACTCACCCAATTAGAAAAATGACCGATAGATTCAATGTTGATGCTCCCTCTTACCATGTATATCCTAACCCATCCCTTTCCCTACTCCACCAACATCCCTTTCTACTTCCGCCTACACCATTCAACACCTCTCTCCCCTGGACCAGCCCTTGATATGATGCTTAAATCTCAAGCCAGGAGTATTGCTGTGATTTTGGACACCTCATGCTGCTGCCAGTCTCTTAAATTAATAACTATGTACACTTCAAAATCCACACCTAGTAAAAATATTATAAATATTTATATGTATCATTGGAAGCAGGAGTGGCATCCACTTCCTAAATAACATGCCTCCAGAAACCCTATGAACTTTGATAAATGTTGGTAGTTGTAGAGGGGCTTCAAGCCTTTTTGTTCATAGGGTCGCTATGAGTCGTGCTTGACTCGAAGACAATCTACAACAACAGCATCATTAGTGAATACAAGAAAGGTTAATTCTTCATTGTTGCTGTTGTTATGTGCTGTCAAGTCACTACTGACCCTTTGTAAAATAGACTTGAAACCTGCTCTAACTTTACTGTCTCTGACACACCTACCCTCATTACTCCAGTCACTGAATCCATCCATCTCATTGTTGGTCTCCCTCTCTTTCCCTGTCCCTCCACCCTTCCAAGCATGATGTCCTTCTCCAAGGACTGGTCCCTCCTTGCAACATGTCCATAGTACGTCAGATGAAGCCTCAGAACCTTGACTCCAAGGAGCAGCCTGGTTTTACCCTCTCCAGTATAAACCTGTTTGTTCTCCTGGCAGTCCATGGTATACTCAACACTTTTCTCCAGCACAACAGCTCAAAGGCATCAATTCTCTTTCTATACACATTACAACTTCCTAGGCACAAACTTAAAGAATGACAGATCACCTAGGGTGGCACAGTAAGCCTCTCACTTTAGTTCTCTGTGAAGTGCAACTATCCAAACACAGTGCCCGCAGACCAACCTTCAGAGAATCTTCCTGAAAAGAGAAGTCTTCGTAGACAGCAGTGCTCAGCTCTGGTGTCTTCAGTGACAATTCAACATCATCCATGGAGTGTAACACTTTGTTAATTTCAACAAGGTAGTCTGTGGGAAGAAGTGAGGACCGAACTCCAGAAGCCAGTGGACTTGTTTTTTTCTGTTGAATAGGGACTGCCTACAGAAACACAAGTAACAATGCATTTATTGTTATTGTTGTTGCTGGGTGCCATCAAGTTGTGTACAACCCACAGTGACACTCAGATGTGAACAACAGATGTGAACCCAGCCCTATCCTGTGCCATCCTCATCATCTCGGATACACCAGAGCCCTAGTCAATCAACAACAACATCATTAGTGAATAAAAAAAAAGGTTTCTTCTTCATTGTCGTTGTTGTTGTTGTTGTTATTGTGTACCATCGAGTTGGAACTGACCCATAGCTGACCCTCCAGTGGGTTGTCTGAGGCAGTTAATCACACAGGAGGAGACAGCCCATCCTTCTCCTGCAGAGCAGCTGGTGGCCTCGAACAGTGTGCTTCGGGATTGCAGCACAGCTCCCTGCCACTAGGCCACCCTCCAAGGAAGAATGACAAATTGAAAAATAAAGTATAAGACTATCACATAAACGAATCCCTCAATTAGAGAGACAGACACAGTGGTGGCAGCAATGGCTGAGCACGGCGGAGGCTGTGGGGCTGGTACAGGACGGGGCCCTATGCTGTTCATAAGGTTACTATGAGTGCCAGTCCACCTCAATTCGTAAGCAGCTGGAATGTGGCTATTTACACATATTTTTAAATACTGAGACAATTCTGACAAGAGGATTTAGACATATTTATAAAAGGTACAACCGCACCCGTTCCTTGACACTTTCACTTTTCTATCAAGCTTCTAAAAATAATAAAACAAAAAATTACCAACCCAGTGTTGTTAAGTGAAGTCCACCTCCTAGCCACGCTCCCTGCCCGGGGTTTCTGAGGCTCCCACCCAGCCTGGGCAGGGCAAGATGGTCCAGCTTTCTCCCACAGAGCAGCTAATGAATCCTAACACTGCAGTTATCAGTCTCACACATTAAGCTCTACCCCACAGAGCTCCTTACTCCAAAAAATGAAACTCTTCAAAAATGTTACTAAAAATAATTACATACAATTTTTCACTGAGTTAATAACAGAAAACCTGAAAAACAGTAAACGTGAAAATCACTGCATCCCCTCAATAAAACCTCAAGGTTAAAATTGTCAAATAAGCAAAGGTGGTGGTGGGCACAGAGGTCTGCACTACTTTCCACCCAGAATTCTATTACATTACTGTTTTCATCAATAGATCGAGGGTCCTCGATATCCAGGTTAAAAGCAAGTTTGTAGAGTTCCTGGCTTTATGCATGGAATTAAAAACTATTCCCGATACAAATTTTGTTATCCTATGCTATATATTCAAGTGTTGTCAAGAATTTTACTCATATGTTTAAAATTTTTATTTTAAAGTAAACCAAAAGAATGCCGAACTCAGTAATGTATGTCCTCAAGAACCAGTTTAAAATTAAAATGTAAGCAATATCTTTTAAATAAGGAAATATAACCAAAACACATTTTTTTAACATTATTTTAAATGAGTTAGGTTTTTTGGTTTTGGGTGGTTTTTCTTCTGTTGTTTTGGTTTTTTTTTTTCTTTTTTGGAAGAGGACGAATTTAGTCTCAATTTCTCCCTCCTTTTAAAATTTAAAGTAAAAGAGATGCCATGCCAATATTTATAGGCTGAATGATCAAGTAGTTAACATGTTTGGCTGTTAACTGAAAGGTATGTGGTTCAAGCCCACCCAGTGGTATCTTTGAAGAAGGACCTATTGATTTACATCACAAAGCCCAGCCACTGAAGATGGATGGGAGCACAGATCTTCTCAAGCCCCCGTCAGGAGGCCATGAGTCAGAACTGACTCAACAGCCACTGGTTTCTGATCACATGGAAGGAGTAAAACAGAATAAGAACTCATTCTCATCTTTGGCTTTCCCATCTATTAACCAGTGTCATGGATTGAGTTACATATTACTCCACTGCTCTCCCCCTCTTGCCCTGAAGATACATTACTAAGATACTTGACTAAGCCATGATTCTCAGTATGATATAATTACCCTGAAAGTGATACAAGTATTTGGGTCTTTTCGTTCATAGGGTCACTGTGAGTCATCTACAACTCGACAGCACTGAACAACAACATAGGAGAGCTATGTTGGCCTGGTGGACAGAAAATAATGCTACCAAGGCAAAGATGGGTGATTTTAATCCGTGGCTCCCAGTTCTGGTTTTAATTGTTTTTTGTCAAACATTCTTCTTAGTGGTATAGCACTAGTCCATTTGCTGTACAGAGGTAACTCATGGTTGCTGTGATGCTAAACACAGTGACACTGATGTATCAACTGTGAGAATGGTCACCATGGTGGACAATGTTTGGTGGAGCTCCTGATTAAAATAAGCTTGGAAGCAGAAGTGGCATTCACTTCCAAAGTAACTTGCCTCCAGAAACTCTATGAACTTGGAGAAATGATGAAAGTTATACAAGTGTTCAGGTCATTCGTTCATATGGTCACTATGAGTCATCTATGACTCAAAGGCACGTAACAACAACAACAACATTAATGAGACATTATTACAGGAAGTTATGCAATGATGAAATTATCTCCTAACCTTCTACACTTATGTGTGATCTCATAGTGCTTAAAAGGAATGAGGGTAAGATGCAAAATCCTTTAATCAGCCCTGATTAGATGCAAGGGAGTTTCTCCAGGATGTTTGTGCCATCCTCATCTTACAAGAGATTAAAGGAGAGGAAATCTGGCAGAGAAAGATGAATCTCGGCACCATCAATAAAGAAATAGGAGTGGTTCATCTCAGGGTCCTGCACTGGGAAGCTCCTAGAAATTAGAGATACAAGCAGAGAGAGCCTTCAAGAGCCAGCACCCTGACTTCAGACATTCCCCTCTCCTGGGAGGCAAGGATGGAAGAGCATCACCTCTCACACGTTGGACATGTTGCTAGGAAAGGATATACCTTGGAAATGGATAACACGCTAGGAAGGGTGGCAGGTCAGTGAAAGAGAGCAAGACCCCACCCCCAACCCCCGCGAGGTAGAATGGCCCAGTGACTACTGCAATGGTTATCAGAGATAATGAGAATGGCACAGGATACAGGACAGGTTTCAGGTCTGTTGCTCATAGGGTCGCTATGAATCATACTGTACTTCAGAGCAACTGACATCAACAATAATCTATGAGCAAATAAATTACATGTGTCATACACTTGTAGTGTACCTGCTACAGTGGCTTAGATAGTTAAGGAGGAGTTCTGGTGGTGTTTCCAAACCAAAGGTGGTGCCTCTCTGGTAGGAGAAAGACTGGCAATCAACTCCCGTGTGATTTATAATCACTTGAAAATCCGCTGGAGGGTCAGCTATGATTCTGTTCTGACTTGACGACACTGAACTGTTGGGATAACTAGAACAGCCAGGACCACGCTGAGAGCTCATTTGTTTTCCAAAAACCCAAAAAGGCTCCAGACACCCAATGACATGATATGTGCTTGAAGGACATAAAGCTTTGTAATACTGTACTCACTCACCATCACGTGACAGGTGCCCTGAGAGGTGGAAACAGCTTTACACAACTACTACTAAAAGATAGAGAGTTTGAACTCACTCACAGGAGTCCAGGGAGAAGCTGGAAACCTGCTTCTGTAACAATTAGAGCTGAGAAAGCTTACACAGGAGCTCTACCCTGTGACCCATGGGGTGACCAGAAGCTGCAATCAATTAAATGGTAGTTGTACAGGGCACTAGCCCTGTGTTAGGTCTATCAACCCACTTTTATTAGATAACTGAGTCACTTTCATACCTTAACAAGTTCTATAAATCCAGTCACTCTGTGTTTATTTCCTATTTAAACAGCAGACTGTCATCCCACCAGCTTGTCTGTGTCTGAAGCTTTGGATTAAAAGGAGAAAGTCAATGATATTCTTAACAGAAAATTCCAAGTTAAAAAAAAAAATCTAATTATCTAGAATTTTTTATATTCAAACTCTAAAAACAATCTAAGAACTTTCTGAGCCTCTACGCTCTTGGAAAAAAGCACTACAAGATTTAAGCACTTGCTTTAATATTCCCAAAATAGATACTGTTTTTTCCTCTCTTGAGAGTGATCAATCAAAATGTCCTCAGAGGAAAAATAATGATCTGACCTGGACTTTGCTTCTAGGGGACTGTGTATGTGAGGAATGCTGCTAGGACACAAAAAATACAAAATACACCACAAGTTATAACTAAAAGTAGAGAGTGATACACAATGCAGTTCAGCACATACACCAAACTAGATTCCAGATATATTAGTCTATTCAAATAAATAAACGTCTTGGAGAGGGTGAAACCAAGTTTCTCCTTGGAGGCTAGGATTTTTAAGCTGCGTTTCACATACTTTGGTCATGTGGCCAGGAGGGACTGGTCCTTGGAGAAGGACATTATGCTAGGAAGGGTGGAGGGACAGTGCAGGAGAGGACGATCCCAGATGAGATGGATATAGCAACTAGGGCAAAGGGGGTAGGTGTGTCAGAGTCAGTGAGATTGTCTCAGAACAGGGCAGGCTTCAGAGCTGTTGCACACAAGGTCACTATGTGCTGTCGAGAGCACATAACAACAACATTCTAAATGATACTTCGTAAAAATATCCTAAATCTTTCTCAAATCTTGGGAAAAACTGAAACTATACAGAATCACAGAATGTAATCAACTCTCTGGAGGCTGAAGGACTTTTTCAATCTAGAACTGAAAGAAGGTGTGTCATTAAGTTGTGTACCCCAAAATATGTGTAATGTAACATGTAAGTGATGACCCCTCAAAATCTGATCAGTCAGCCAGTTTTCAGAGGCTTGCTAAGGGGGACAGCTCACGATGTCCCTGCCATTTAGCCAGCTTTGACCCTTAGGTGGCTCTCTATCCGGTTTCTGGGGCTGTAAATCTTTACAGGAGGGGGCTGTCTTTCTTCTGAGGATCAGCTGGTAGAGAAAGTGTCTGGGTTAGGGATACAACTCCTAAGGTCTACACCACCAGAGCTTCCTGAGGCAGGGTCACAACACCCTTCATCCCACCACAGCCCAGATCAGAGGAAGGGCCGTTTTCATGACATGCAGCTGTAACATCTTTTCTTTCTCAAGAAATAAGTGGAGAAGGAAGTGAGCAGAAAGGTAGGAACCTCAGTACTTTCAAGACAGAAGAGATGAGAGCAGAGCCCATTATTCAGAATTAATGTCCTGCACTGACAAACCTCCAGAATCAAGAGACACGAAGAGAAACACTTCAAGAACCACCATCCTGTATTTGGACTTCTACCCTCTAAAAGGTGGAAGGAGGAGTGGCATCCACTTCCATAACAGCTTGCCTCCAGAAACCCTATGAACTTGGAGAGAGGATGAAAGGCACCCAAGCGTCGGGGACTCTCCTTCATAGGGTCGCTATGAGTCGCCTGCGACTCGACGGCACTTAATAACAACAACAACCCTCTAAAGTGGGATTCTGGTGACTCGGTGGGTAGAAAGCTGTGCTGTCAGCCTAAAGGCAGGCAATTTGATTCCACCAGCTGCTCTATGGGAGAGAAATGGGAAATTTCCTGTCTGATTTACAAAATCTGAAACATGCTGGAGGGCCAGCTGTGGGTGGGCTCTGACTTGGCAGCAATGCTGGAGACAGAGATACTTCAAGACTATATAAGAATAAATTTCTGTTTGGTAAAGTCATTCATTTGTGCTATTTCTGTGAAGGCAGCATAAGGTAATTTAGACAGGAGGCATCACAGCCAAGTCAGTCTGAAGCATATCACAAGGTCGCAGGTCACACGAGGCTGCAGAACACACCCATGTAGACATCACCTGGGAGAGAGGGGTCACGTACTCAGGTTGGGGCACCAACAGAAAAGAGCTGGTCCTACAAGGGACTATCAAGGACAGATCACTGCAGACACCAGCACACCCACAATGCAGGTGGAAGAATGCCAGGAAGAGGGAGCTGGTCGTGAATCATGTCAGGTGCACAAACTGCACTACTGAAAAGCTAGACCATCTTTTGAAGTCACCAAGACTTCAATGTATAAAACATCAGGAGGAAGTCACTTCTTAAAGAGGGTCTTCTAGGTATAATGCATAGTTGCCGTTGTTATTGTTGTATACCATCAAGCTGAAACCGACCCATAGCTGACACTCCAACAGGTTTTGAGAGGCAGTTAATCGCATGGGAAGAGATTGCCCAACCTCCTTCCGTGTAGTAACTGAACCACGTGCCTTTCGAATTGCAGCACAGCTTCTTGCCACCAAGTCACCAAAGTTTCCTTAGGAACAAAAATAGATAACCAGAGGGCCCAAAGACATAGATGGAAGTGGAAGGACTGAAAGGATGTGGGGATAAAGAGGTAATCAAAGGAGACCCTGATGGCACAAATGTTAAGTGCTCAGCTGCTAACAAAAAAATCCAACAGTTCGAATGCACCTTAAGATTCCTGGGGGAAGAAAAAAAAAATTTTGGAAATCTGTTCCGATAATGATTTCACCCTGCAAACCCCTATGACGTAGTCAGGAATAAAACATTAAATCAAGCAACAAATAACAACTTATCAAATAGGAGGTAAAAACTAAGAGTATACAGATAATATGTTTCTTAAGAGACAACCAATAATAAAGACTAAGGTACTAATTTCAATGAGTCCCACTCCCTCAAATGGTGTGAACATGTAGTCAGTCTAGAAAAGAATGGAGACAGCATTCCAGGAGGTTTGTTTTGGAGTGTTCACAGACGCATCATGGAACACCTGAGTGGCAAGAGGCGTAGAGGTCTCTAAATTCAGCAGAGACCTTCCTCAGACCGTACCTTGACTTTACTGAACTTTGTGCGCAGAAGCATTAACTGCAAACGGATCTTCTCTTGTGTACTATCCTCCATGGGCTGATGTAACATGTGTTCTCCTCTCTGAAGGACTTCCTCAATCAGGGCTCTTTCCTCACCCACCTGAATGTTGAAAAGGAAAACACACGCTCAGAAGACAAATGTACAGAGTCACTAGATAATCAGTCTTCAGAAGATAGTTTTATTAAAACACAATTTAAATTAATGCTTAAAAGGCTAAGTTGGATGATACAAGGGTTTAATTCAGAAACAGAATATGCTTAATTTTAAAGACATTTATGATTCCATAAATCACCAGAGAATTTTCACATGGACACTCATCAGAAATTCACATTCCATCCTGTCATGTTTGTCATGTTATTTGGATAGGTATCAATGACGTTAAAAATAATTAACAGAAGAGAAAAATGACAATACATGGTTCTGAGCCTCTCTTTTAACCAACCTTTTCGTCTTCGCCACTGGATTCCAAATGCTTCTCCACAAGATTTAACATATTTTGTATGTCATTTTCTAATCTTTCCAAATCAGAGGAAAGTGCACTAGTGTCAACCGTTTCTGTGTCCGCCAAATATTGATATGATAATGGTTCCTGGCCAATGAGCATCTGTGGAAGGAAAACAGCCTTCTTTAAAGCTCATTCTTCCACACGGTCATGAAGACGCTCTTCCAACACAGCCAAGAGGGCAGGATGTCAAGAAAGGAAACAGCATTTATGTAAATTTCATTGTACGTCATGTTTAACAGAACAAGGTTATCACCAGTTCAAGCTTTTTTTTAACTGCTCATTTTCTCCAAACTCCAGTTAAGGATGTGAGCAGTGCTCAACCAACTGTGGCTGCATGGGTGTTTATATTCTGAGGCCACAGTGAACAGCGTGGACACTGAAGTTGTGACCCAAAAGCCATCTGTGCTGCAGAATTGAAGGCTGGGAGCCACCATCACAGGCATACCCCGTACAGAGTCTCCGTGGTTAACTTTTCCTAAAAGGAGGTCCCTTAGATTTTGATACTAGACTGTATAAGCCAAACAGGTTGCTGTCATGTGATGTCAAACCACAGCCAACCACATGCTACAGTGCAGAACTGATGCACAGGGTTCACTCAACCGTAATCTTATCAAGGGAGAACTCGATTGGCATAATGAGTTGCACTCCGACCCCAAAGGCTGAGGATCCCCAGTGGGACAAAACCATCAGCAGCTCCAAAGAAGAAAATTTATAACAACTTCCCCACTTTGCAATGCACAGCCTTGAACAGTCAAAAGAGCTTCACACTGTGAACTGGAACTGACCTGACCAAGTAGAAGTGGCATCCACTTCCTAAACAACTTGCCTCCAGAAACCCTATGAATTTTGACATATGTCAACAGTTATAGAGGGGCTTCAGGCCTTTTGTTCATGGGGTTGCTAGGAGTTGTGCTTGACTTGAAGGTAATCAACAACAACAACAATGGTACAATGAGTGGAATCAAGCCATCAACCTTTAGGTTTAATACTCCAGTACAAACCAGTTGTGCCAGCCCCCAACCTTCCCAGAAGTACTTCCTTCTCAGAACTCTACTTTCCAGACTCTATGTACACAGACAAACTTAACACGCATTTGACTGAAACTCAATATAACATTCCAATAAAATTAAGCACATAAAAATATTTTTCCATATTGACTGGGGAAGGACATGGACCACAGGTGTAAAAGCTGACCCAAATTTTCTGTAGGGTTATTTGGGAAATCTATTTAAAAGCCTTCATATGCATACTTTTTTACAACAATTTTAAGGAATTATAAGAAATGATCCTAAGGACAGAGTAAGATATGAGTGTAAAGATAAGGCTAAAAATATTTCAATCAGGCAATACTTATAAAAAAGACCAAGAAAAATTGAGTACTGACTTAGAAAATGAAAACAAACTGCAGAACAAAAAGGCATACAGCTTTAAAAATCATGTCACCGAGAAAATTTTAAAATGGAAAAAATCTTATTATCGTTACTATCGCATACACATACATATATTAAATCTTTCTTTGTTGTTCTCCTCACACTACACCTGAGACTTGAACATTTTTACAAAGGAAAATTGCCCATAAACATACTGAAATAAATGAGTTTAGATGTAAAGGTAAGGTCAAGGTTAAGGTAGGCAAAGGTTAAAATACAAGATTTGCTTTCTTTCTTTAGGTCATGAATAATCTAAGTATACCTTTATCTTGCAAAGCATAACCTGACATATTTTATCAGATATTTGCAATTAAAGCAAAGTTGAATGATATTTATTTCCCAGGTGCGGGGGTAGATCCCTCCTCCTAGATAATTCATTTCAGTGCATAACTCTCTAGAAGTCTGACAACTGAATACTTGAAAAATGCCAATCTAGGGCATAGTTGGGCTTCTAAAAAATGTTAGAATCCTATGAGAATAAACAACTGGTTTAAATGATGCCACCAAAATAAATTTTGTTCCAGACAACTGACAGAAAGTTTTCACCTTTTCTACTTAACATTTGCTGAGTACACACTACATGCCTGGCCTTGAGGACATTATAAAAATACTTCGTTTTCCTCTCTCACAGAACAAGGGTAATGAAATTATACATACACATTTTCAGAGAAAAACAGTACTAACACAAAATAATATATTTTCTTTTTAAAAAAGGAAAGCTTGCATCAATTACCCTTTTAAGTTTATAAAGCTATTTTTCAAAAATCATACAATCAGAAAGACTTCTTCTGTATCAGGTCTAAATTGAGACGTTGTTAACTTTTCAATTTATCAACACACAATCATGAAAAGGATGATCAAGTTTACTACCTATACAACATGAACATAAACTGCCATTAAAAAATGATGGGATGAAGTTAGAAAATTACTCTCAATATTTTTAATCAATTTCAACGTCAACAAAAGTCTGATATTTTCTCTCAAATGGTTGTTTTCTCAAATATGAACTTGTATTTTTTCACTTCTTCACCTGCACAATTACAAATAAACAAGGACAAATATCCTACTTGAATAAATTGTGGAAGCCTCATAAATTTAATTTTTAAAAACTGTGGCTTGATATATACTATGTAACAATGCATCATTTAGACACATACATAGAGAAAAAAATCCACAAAAATGGATTTACTCACCGTGGCACTGCGGATATGCTGAGACACCTTCTCAAAGTTTCTATTCAGTTCTGCTAACTTTGGTTCCACAAGTTCCCTCCTCGAGCCTCCACGTGCGTTCATCAAAAGAGCAGCTTCCTCGCGGACACTTTCAACTTGGACATTAGCATCATCCAACTCAGATACCAGCCGCTAATTTCAAGAAAATACAAAATTATCACATAGGAAAAATCAAGCCAAACATGAATATGAAATAAAACCTCCTGCCACCGAGTTCATCTGGCTCAAGGATTCCGGAACCTCCACCAGGTTTCTGAAGCTGTAAGCCTTGAAGAAGGGAGACGGCTCATCTTCCTTTCAACCAGTGGTGAATGGATTCAAACCACTCATCTTTCAATCAGCAGCCCACTTTGTTCTGCCCTATACCACTCAGACTCCTTAGAAACAATAGTATCAGTTCAACTCACTGCTGTCCTGTCAGAACTACCCCATGGCTACTCCTCCAATGGTGTCTGAGGCTGTAAATCAAATGGGAAGAAAATGCTCATCTTTCTCGTTTGAAGTCGCTGGTGGATTTGAACCACCACCACAGAGGTATAGCCCTAGTGAGACTCAACATGGACTTCCATTTCTCATACCAAAACCAAAGTGAATCAAGGCACTTTACTAGGTGAACAAGTAACTATGAGACTTCACAGAACAAAGACTGCACTAGCATGCTGCCCTCTCAAATGACAAAGTCCCCTTACGTTACCTTCACAATTTCCTCTCGTTTACTTGCTGGTTTTGTTTCAATCTCATCCAGCAGAGCTTCCGCTTGGTAAAGCCAAGTGCTCAGATGAGCTACATTCCCATCAAATACGTCCAGCTGCTTCTGATGGGTCTACAAAATAACAACACAATGTTGACATAAGCATACAAAATATTTCAAATGAAAAAGAATACAGTTGAATGTTGAAAGTAAGAAGGGCTTCTATCCTCCTGCAGTGAACATTTCAGCTAATAAACGTCACTCCTAAAAATTGCTGTTGTAAAAAAAAAATTGCTGTTGTTAACTACTTACTAAATGCCTATGATTGAGAGCTCAATAAAGAGAGTAGTAACATTTGAAGTTGAGATCTTTATTTGGTTTTATTTCAAGTATGTCTCCTTTATTCTTCATTCTTCCCTGTATTGCAAATAATCTCATTTACCCCATTTCAGTCATATTTTTTCAAAGAATCCATGTAAAGTGGTGGTGTTGTTGTTATGTGCTGTCAAGTCACCTGTGACTCACAGCAGTCTTAAACCCTGCTCTATCCTGTACCAATCCTACTGTCTCTGACATACGTGCCCCCAGTTCCCCAGTCATTGAATCAATCCATCTCATCGAGGGTCGTCTTCTCTTGTGCTGTCTCTTCACCCTCCCAAGTATCATGTGTCTCTCCAAGGACTGGTCCCTCCTTGCAACATGTCCAAAGTATGCGAGGCCAAGTCTCATTATTCTTGCCTCCAAAGAGCACTCTGACTGCATCCTCTCCAAGACATATCTGTTTGTTCTCTAATTAGCTAAAATAATTATTAAAACGGCTAAATCTGACCAAAGCAAAATTTTGACAAAGATGTAGGGAAAGAGAAATTAAAATCTTAACATTTGTATGTATTAGCAAAAAAAATATACTGTGAATTTTTTTTTCTGGTATTATATTTTCAAAGGAAAACACAAAATACGTCCTACTGAAATTAATTCATAAGCAAGAAATTATTCTAACAAATGAAAAATAGAATTTACAGTTCTGAAGAAAGCTATAGTACTTTAAAAAATGGACAGGAAAGGTGATTTCATGTATTACATTTTTGAGGGAGCACATACCAGTAGAGTACTGTACCAGTCTTCAGTCCAAGTTCGAACTCGGCTCCACCCGGCATTGAGGACACAGAGCTTCTCTTCCAGCGCAGCCTCACTGCCCTCTATTAAACTCTGGAGGGCAGCACTATTCTCTGTGATGGTATTTAAATCAGTCTTTTTCTTTTCCAGATCCTTCAGGACACTCTAGGAAATAAAATCACAGTGTCATTCGATCTTTCAGAGTATTATATAGAAAGCTTACACATTCTTACTTTTCTACACATAACCACACTAGGCTATGACTCCTAAGATAGGTTCGAATGTCAAACTCACTGCCATCAAGTTGGTTTTGACTCACAGCAAGTAGACTGCCCTATGTATATTCACTGGAGCAGCTAGTGGGTTTGAACTGCTGATCTTTTGGTTTGTAGCCAAATGCTTCACACTCTATGACCAGGGTTCCTGACAATACATGAAGGATTTACAAAATTCTTGAACTTATTAACACGGTGAGAGTTCGGAGTTCCTAATAAAAATTAAAATCTTTAAGAATGCATACACCAAAGAATATAACTCATATGTAAAAATTATAATATTTAAGAATAAACTTCATTAAGTACACAGACACACATTCTCAGTTATCTTGATCATAACTCTAAATAATTCTCTACATAAGAGTTCATTTCATGTTCAGTAACTAAAAGCCATCCAAGGAGAAATATCACAGAATTCACAATTTTAAAAGCCCTCATAATGAATTTATCTCTTAGATTATGAGAAGAAACTACTGAAAAGTCTATATTTAATTACAAGGATTAAACCTGGATTTAGGTGATTTAACATATCATCTGCTGTACAAACATTACATAAAATATCTTATCTTAGTAAGTCCCAGAATTACGTCTAAGCTGCAGTGTTAAAACTGTCTCAATAAACAAAAAACCCTCTGATGGTATAGTCATAATCTTATTTGCACATTCATAAATTTTACTAGGTATCAAAGAAATGTAAAGGGACTATCTGGTTCTACAATTAAAGCTACATTTTTTTTCAACCAAAAAAGCAACATGCTCATATCTAACCTTGCTATGCTCTAAAGAGCTAACAATTAAACTAGTCATTTCAAGGAGTTTGAGTTTTTTATTAAATCATGATATTTTTGAAAGGCACAAATAACCACACATTCACAAGAAGTCTGTGTTTAAATGCTTGCCTGCCCAGGTCAGTAAGCAATAGTGTATTTATGATGACAATGATGTATTTCTTTCAAATATTAGTTTCCAGAATAAAAACAATAAAATAGAAAAGACCACAATCATGTATTGCAAATATAGTAAAGTTTTCTGTATTTCCTTTAGAAGCTATATTTACTAGCTATAATAGTCTTTCATAAGTATAAGTAATTAAGTTTTAAAAATACATTATCTATGAGTATATATTTTATTTTAATATGTATATATATTTTAGTGAAAATAATGATATTTAAACTGAGGGTTCAAAGTGCTATTTAAATTTTGCACTGGAGCAATGGTGTCACTCTGGAGACTAAGGTGCATCTGATACAGGCTATGGTCTTTGCAATCACTTGTT